AAAAAAAAAAGAAGAAGTTATTTGCATTCTTCCTGGAGCTGGGGATGAAGCTCATTGGTAATTCACTTGCCTTGTGAGACCCGGGGTCCAGTAAAAAAAAAAACAAAAACAATACTCAAAAGTAGGGTTAGAGGATAAATTCTAAAGGTATCTGCATACTCCCAATATTCTAAAGGTATCTGCATACTCCCAACATTAACAAGTAAATCGTGATATTTGTAAATCATGGTATTTGTGCTTAAAGAAGGAATCATGATACCACGCAACCCAAAGCAACCTTGCCAAACTCCTCCATTACTCACTCACCGATCGGCTGCCGGTACGGATGGTACACATGGATGTCAAAGGGCCTGTGTGTGGTGTTCACCAGCACCTTCCTATCTGATCCATCATATTTGTTTCCCTTTTCAACTGTCCTTGTATTCCAGTCTGTCCAGTAAATAGTGTCTTCAAAAACGGTAATAGCAAAGGGGTGAGGCAGCGTCCCGTCATACACTGTGTGACGATGGCGACCCTCCAAATCTGAGTACCTGGGGCAGCGGGAAGAGACACTCCCTCAGTGAGGAAAATAACGTAACCCCACTTCAAATGCTTTGCAGGATGAGTGAACAAAAAAAAAAAAAAAAAAAAAAACACTTAATAAAACTACCCTCCTGGTCTTTAATGCAAACTAAAGCTAAACTTTTATTTCAACTGACCAAAAGATAGAAAAGTTAGAAAAGCCATGCTTCAAAATTAGGAACAGCCACAGAGGTAAACAATCACTGACTCCTAACCCCAGCTGGTATCCTACAGCTGCAGCTGGCATGGCTGTGGAAGGTTTGTGATCTCTCATGCTGATGTTTTCCATTAAGCATCCTTTGGATTTCCTAGGGTGAACACCATTCTTGTTTCCTAAAGTCATTGGAAGAAACCAGAAATGGCAACATAAAGCTGGAATCCCATCTTCTTGGGAACATTCTTAAGAGTGAAGCTGTTGTAAGAGACAGGTTCTCAGTGTAACCCCAGGTAATATGCCTTATGGGCCTGCAGGGTTAACTTAACACTTGTCAAAGAACATTTAGTACTAATCATGCCATGGGCATGAATAAACCATCAGAAGGGAGTCTCTGATTTTGAGATGTCACAGGGCATCCATAGTCATAGCTGAATTTCCAAGTCATCTTAGTTCTCAGTCATTTCTATGAATCTATGCCAAAAGTCACTTCTAAAATACTGATATTTTAATATTTTGAAAATTTGGAACAGCTCCTAAAATTCAAACAAGAAGTAGAATAAGTTACCAACCAAAAAGTATGATCATATTAGCCTTGAAGTGTTAGAAATATTTCCCCAGAAGCTAGGAAAACCTGAGCTAGGAAAGCCTGTGTTGATAACAATGAAGATAAAGGATCAGAACACAGCTACCAGGTGACAGAACTTCTAAGGGCCTTTGAAGTAGCTCTCCTGAATGACTGGTACTTCTAAGCTTTTGAATGCAAGACATTACTATGTTCCAGTCAGGGCCATAAATAGCCATGCCCCCAAAATAAACATGTACTAGTTGGTTAATATTATATTACCTTTTTTAAAATAAGAATTTTGGGGGCTGGAGTTGTGGCTCGGCAGTAGAGCACTCGCCTAGCACGTGAGGGGCCTTAGGTTTGATCCTCAGCACCATATAAAAATAAATAAATAAAATAAAGGTATTGTGTCCAACTACACCTAAAAAATAAATATTTTTTAAAAATAAGAATTTTCACTGCCTATTATAATACTTCACACAATTTTAAAAAATCATCCTGATGCCAGAGAGGTTTCAATGCATTATGACATTGAATAAATGATAACAGACCCTGTTGCTAGGCAAAATATTTTACTTATCAATAAATGCACCAATGCTTTTGTTCCTTTTATTTTTTCAAGGACTATATGGAAACCATGAAATTAATCATATATTTGGGAGGGGAAAACAAAGCAAAGGGAAAAGGAAATCAAGGTGGGTATTGAATATTAAGGGGAGAGATTACTAACTTTATTTTCTAGAAGAAGAAGAAAAGGAAGAAGTGAAAGTACCAAGTTATCAACCCTGATAGTACAACTTCAAAGTTCACTCTCTTTCTACTGTACCATACCATAGGACTCAGTGAACTACTTATAGGAATAAGGCCAGCTAAAAGATACACAGGACAAATACGCTGGAAGTACAAACCCTGGAATCTGCACTAAACAGTGGCCCTGTTGTTTTGTTCTTTTCTATTACTTACTCAATGTAACCCAGGTGAGCATCTGCCCAGTACAGGAGATCGTTGGTGTAATCGATGGTGATGGCATTGGGCCACTCTAACTTGGTAGAGATAATCACAGACTTATTGGATCCATCCATGCCCATTCTCCCAATGTACGCACGGTAAGCCCAGTCTGCCCAGTAGACATGCCTATAGGAGCAAACAGAGGGTCAGTCCCTGAAGCTGAAGGAAGTCAGTAGCCAAAAGACACAGCTTTTCTCCCTTTAGAGAAATGGAGTTTATATCCCACAGAGCCTCTTAGAAAGGGAAGAAAGCTAACAGAAAATAATCTAGAAGAGATTAAAGGGGATGAGGTACAGGAAATGCTCAAGGAAGAATGATTAACTATGGACTTCAGTGATTTGACATGGAGAGTCCAGGAAAAAAATGTTTCTTTTACCACAGTATTCTTTGCATGCAGCCAAAACGTGTAACTTGACAAAAAAAAAAAAAAAAATGAAAAGGTGTGCCATGGCAAAGATAACAGAAGAGCAGATGAGGATCACTTGAACAAGCCATGCTTCTACCCATGACACTAAACCATTTACCAGGTAGGAAAAGCAGAAGACAAATCCCAGCAAGATACTGGCCTTGAGAGAGCCTTTTTGATAACAGAGGCGGAATAAGGGCATGAAAGAAGAGCCCAAGATTACAGGGAGACAATACCCATATTGAGGGTGAAGGACAATTCCTCTGGGATTATCAAAGCAGAAGGTGTTGTTGGCATCCACACAGTGCTGGGCCAGGGTGCGGCGGTATCGACCTTCCAGGTCGGAGACGAAGAGGCTATCTAGGTGGGCATCCACCCAGTAAAGCTTCCTGAAATAAGAGAGCGAGGGGTTACTGACAGAATCACTTGGTTCAGCCTCCCAATCTCCTGTTCAAGCTTCCTGAGAATCACACAGGCAGCTGTTGGAAGGCACATTTCCCAGGCCAAAAGAAGGTGGGAGGGAGTCTGAAGTTAACTCTGCAGCAATGAGGCAATGGAAGGTACCAGAGTGTCTGCTACAGTTCCCACTTTCAGGGGATGTCATGCAGGGAATTCTGAGGCCACACCTCACAGCAGGAGTCTGGTTTTACCTCCTTCCTGCGGCCAAAGGCACCTTCTCAGGCAGTGCCAAGGTTTACTGGATGGGGAAGCAGAAACAGATGCCATGAATTACAGTTTGAATGGTGGAATCAAGGAAACGGACTTGTCTAGTGTGCACAAAGGAACTCTGAATTCTGACCCCCTTGATGTAAAGGGGTACCTCTCCCATCATGGCCCAGTCAGACTAGACTGGCAGAATGAGTTTCTTACGCTATGATGTATTTTACTTAATCGAACTTAAGAAGCCTTGGCAATGTATTAGAATCTGTTAGAAACTTCTGCCTCAGGGACGTTTCAGGTCTGAGTGTACTGATGTTCAATAAAACCAATTTATTTTCTGTAGAGCAGGTGTTTGTAATCAAAGAAGCCTGGACTTTGGGGGTCTGTACACCATCCAAAACTGATGCAAATTGTGTAAGCACAAGTGGGTAAGTGCTTTTATCCATCAAGGGGCCCAGGGTTTTCATCGGAATCTTAAAATATCCCAAAGATCAATATTCCTAGAATTGGAGGGTCATCAATACCAATTGAACAGAGAATGGTCTTCTTCTAAAGGGCTTAAATGCTTCTTTGCATGACATAAGCCCAGTCCAACTGTGCTAGAGGCCAGAATAGCAGCACCCTGTTCTTATGAGGAGGAATAAATGAATAAATGGACATGCCTTGCCAATTAAGACACTTGAGTAAGTCCCAATGAGTGAGATGACCACAATCTACATCTTGGATTCCATCATTGTAGTGGCCAAGAATACCAATAATAGTGGTAGCTATATATTGAATACTTACTAAATGCTAGGCCCTAGACTAAGAAATTTTTAAGACATTGTATTACTTAAGATCACAGCAACCCTGAAAGGAGATACTATTATTCCCATCTTCCTGATGAGACTGCAGAAGCCCCAATGTTATATAACTAGTAAGTGGCAGAGCAGGAATTCAAGATTGGCTACACTCCACCACAGGGCACTTGTACTCTGTTGAGGTTCTGCATTTCCATTAAGTTCTCTTCACTCCATAGTTGAAAGACTGATCCTGTGATCAGACGCTTGGAGAGAACATGAAGACCTTCTCTGTCTGCACTACTGGAAATATTAAGAAGACGAAAAGCCAGCACTATCTTCCAACATGCATAGTGGTGTTTTTAAAAATCAGTAGCTCAGACATTATTACCCTATGTACATATATAACTATATGGCTGGTGTGATTCTATATCATGTACAACCAGAAGAATGAGAAATTATACTCCATTATATATGATGCATCAAAGTGCATTCTACTGTCATGCATAACTAATTAAAACAAATTTAAAAATTAGATCAAGTTTAAAAGCTTTGGAAACTAAACAATCTCATATTGGCTGTGCACTTTTGTATTAAGTTCTTGCTGAATAATGTATTAATTTGTATTAATGTTAGGGGAAAACGTTTCTAATTTCAATGTAGTTCCTATCTTATGTCTCCTACCAATGCAAATGTGACTGAGTTCTATCTTTCGTGTTTTAAGGACTATTTAACCTGGCTGTGCTTCTTCCTAGACTTTTGAGAAAAGGTGTGGGCCATTTTCCCCCAGCCTCACTCAGATTTCCTTGCTCTGTCTTCCTCACTACCACACACAGAAATAATTCTCCTTTCTGATCAAGAATATGTCACAGTAGAGAAAAAAAAGGGCTGAAACCCAGACGGAAATAATATTCTACGAGTTTGGGGGGGAGAGAGTTAAATGACATTATCTTTGAGTTATAGTATTATTTTCCCTTGCACTGCAGCAAATGATGGGGACAGGAATTGGACCATGGTTAGTTCTGTTCCTGTAAATCATTAATCACTATGTTTTTGGACATGGAGTAGAGCCATATTCATATTCATGCTGTCAATGCTTCATACATTATTCAGCAAGAACTTAGGAGCACGTCTGGCAGGCCAGCTGCTCAGGGAGAACCGGGCACCAAATTCTCCCTCTGGTTTTAGGCCCTTTCCCCTGAAGATGGCCACAAGGCAAGGAGCCACCTGGAGGTCTGGGCTGACTGCAACTATAATATTTACATTAGTGCCTATAGCTTCATGTCTATAACCACACAGTCAACTGGCTTATGCTTCCAAGTATCTAACAGACTTGATATGTAACAGAGACATTAAGAAGTGTGCCTGATCAGGTAAAGTTTCAATTATAACATCATCGTCCTACCTTGAAAACCCTCAGTCTCTAGAAGAACTATCTCAAAAGAAAAGCATTTCAGATCAGCCATCCTCTGCCTCATGACGAACCCAGATTTGGGGATGATTAAGCATTGGAAGCAAGCCTGTGGACTCCAGAATAGCAAGGGCTTTGCCTGCCTTTTCACCTCCAGGTCCCCAGTGCCCACCATCACACCTGGCAGGGAGGAGGTATTCAGCATATTTAAATGACTGAATGCACCAATGAATGTGAGGATCAGTCCTTAATATCATCTACAGTTAACTGAAGGCCTACGGATAGCGGGGTTCTTTCCTCCCTTGTGATACCCTTCTCCATAAAAGTAATATCAGAAATTCTTACAATCACTAAAGTTCTGTGGTATCCTATTTGAGTATTAAGTAAAAAGCAGGAAAAAAAACATGCAGAAGTATTAAATGCATCCACATATTAACACAGGTTGAAAAGATCAATTCCCTATCCAGATAAAACATAGTATTTTCCTTGTAATTTTTAACTTTTAAAAAAGCTCATCAGTGTTTCCTCACCTGGCAACCCAGTCAACAGCCAGACTTTCTGCAGCTGGTAGTCTGTGGCTTATGATTGTCTCCCTGTTTGTCTTGTTCAGAAACATCCTCTCGATGACTTGCCTCTCTCTATCAATCCAGTACAATCTCTTTTCTACTCTGTCAAAATCCAGTGCCACAACATTGCCCAGTCCTTGTAAAATGAGCGAGTAAGAATAGCCATCTACAGTTAAATTTCTCAAGTAGTAACGGTTGCTAAAAATGAGATAGGGTTCAATGTTACTGTTCTGCCGGCAGGTCTTCCCATCTGGCTCACGGATGTAGCCTGGGGCACACTTGCAGATGTAGGAGCCTATCTCGTTCTCACACTTCTGGCTGCAGACATAGGGCGTCTCCTTGCACTCATCAACATCAACACAAGTCCGCTTGTCAGACATAAGCTTGTAGCCAGGATGACAAGAGCAATAGAAACTGGTGAGGGTATCTGTGCAGTTGTGGTCACAGCCACTGATGGAAGGATCCTGGCACTCATTAATGCCTGTAGGTAAAAGACAATTGTTATTATTATTTTGGTATAAAAAACGTCAGTGATGTCAACATTTCTCCTGGCAATATCAATTTTTTTTTAAAGAGAGTGAGAGAGAGAGAGAGAGAGAGAGAGAGAGAATTTTTTAATATTTATTTTTTAGTTTTCGGCGGGCATAACATCTTTGTTTGTATGTGGTGCTGAGGATCAAACCCGGGCCGCACGCATGCCAGGCAAGCGYGCCACCGCTTGAGCCACATCCCCAGCCCCGCAATATCAATTCTTAATGAATCATGCCAGAAAACTGTCGACCATGGGGTGATTCAAAAGCCACTATTTTTTCAACTTTCTCTCCCACTTAATCCTTCAACTGTGGTTTTCACACTCAATACTGGTAACAAAGGTAGCTGACTTCTAGTGCTGTGCTTGCCAACCTCTCATTAAACAATAGTTTTAAAAATAAAATGGCAGGAGAAAGGAGAACAGAGGGTCCTGCCTAGAGTGTAGGCAAAACAGAATCCCCTTAAGGAAGAGGAAAAAGGCTGATTTGTAATATCCCCTATTGCAGTGATGGGATAGGCACACCCTGGCCATTCTCAAGCTACCAGCTTGCCACCACTGACTACAGAGTGGCAAAAAGTTATCACCATGTGCCTCTCACAGGACAGCATGAGCATGGACGTGAGCTCATCACCAGGAGCACCACAACAGTAGGTGTGCCTTGGCTGGTCCTGTGGCGCATGGCCAAGCTCACTCAGAAACCATCTGCAAAGGGAGGGGAACAGGTGCTTATTAATTCTCTATTCAGCCAGGAGCCACAGATTAAAAATTACTTCATGTGCTAAAAAAAAAAAAATCAGACCTTATACTGCTGCTGATTTACCAGGTAACACTAAGCAATTCATTTCATATCTACAGGCTAAAGTTGTATTATTTGCAAAAGAAAGAGGGTTTACATGATCAACCAGATTTGTTCTGGTTATAAGAGTAGATGTTTAGTACCTTTGGAAGAGACCTCATGAGATCAAACTAAAATTTTACATTTGCATTATGTACAATTGAGAATTTGGTTTTGGTTTCAATAGGCACAGAAAAATTAATTAAAGCCTAATGAGAATCTAACCAAATTAGGACTAAATATAAGAAAATTCTCTTAAGAGTTTTGGTATAAATGTCTAAAAGTAATAGGTGTATTTTTATTTATTTAATGGTTTCTGAAACTTTTGGTAGAAACTAACAGTAGTTTTTCTTGTATTAGAGCAAATAATTAGTTTTTGCATTTTTTATGTTATACGTATGTATTCCCTTCTCTAAATTTCCATAGCACATTCTCTCTGAGTTTCTCTGTCTACAGCTTGATTTTTATGTTAAGAACAGAAACCACATTATATATTCTGGGTCAATTAGGCAATGCACTTAATGACCACTGATAGTGAATCAGTGGAAGAAAAAAAATAAATAAAAAGATATGACCTTTCTTTCAAAGCATTTGTCTTTGATTAAAGAGACAATGCCAGCATACAATGTTCCTGTGATCAAACTCCACAAACAGGAATTCAAGATGCTGCTAAGCAAACAGTACCCATTTTGTAAATTCTCCACTGGTTTGCTTACGGTGGTGGGGTAAGGAGGAGATTAAAATTCTCCTATTGAGCGCCTGAGGACAAAACTGAAGAGCCAGCTAAACAGTCCTAGCAGAGAGATGCTTCAGGCAATACGTCATTCCAAGGGTCTAAAGATCATCAACACTGTTCATTCTTGGGCACCTTATTCAGCAGACCTCTTAAAAAAAAATGGCCTGTATATTTGTTCATCTTCTATTCTTTCTAATGGTTGCTTAACTCAAGAATTATCTCCCAAAATATGGTGGTGTGCCTGTCTTGCATGCCAGGAAATCTTTGCCTTTTGATATCAAAGCCACAAGAAATTTTTGGAAATGTGCACACAGAAAACAGATGGTAAAGTCCTGGTCAGTCTTGAAGGATTGAGAATCCACACCAAGCCGTTAGCCACCTCTGTCCTTTTGGTAAGTTTTCCACTGTACTCACCACAGCCTTTCTCATCACTGTTGTCGGAACAGTCATCCAGGTGGTTGCAGACTTTCACCATCTCGAGGCAGCGCCCATTGTCACATTTGAACTGATGAGGCGGGCATGTGGCTTCTGGGGTGTGGCACAGGTGCTCCAGCTCATCAGAGTTGTCCCCACAGTCGTTCTCCTCATCACAGACAAAGTCCTCATTAATGCAGCGCCCATTCTGACAGGTAAACTCACTCTTACTGCAGGTGGGGTAGGAGCAGCCCCTCTCATCACTATAGTCACCACAGTCATTGCGCCGGTCACACCTGTGTGAAGGGACCCAGAATGGCTGACAAGACTCATCTCTCATCCAAGTGTTTCTTCTCTATCCACCTGAATGACAGCTTAAGCTTGATCATTTCAATAAGATGGGCAATGACTCGGTCCCCTTCCCTCCAGAAACTTCATCTTCCTCACCAATAATAATGTGGCATTTGTACAGCATGCCCAGGTGCTACCATGAGAATGTGGATCTAGAGCTTTAAAAAAAAAACCCACATTCATCCTTTCCCCTAGTTGATAGATTAGAATATTCCTCAGATGATAAGATAGCTTAATTGCACAGTCAATATCCCAGTGATAGAAGTACCCATACGCAAGTGGAAACTCAAAAGGGTGAGTATTGTGTATATAAAGGTTAAGATCATTGGGTGTGACTGCTAAGAACATGTTCTCTTCCAACTGGAATCATATTTGCACTAGCAGTCCTATTCATTCTATCCTTCCATAGTCCCATGGCCATTTGTCATGAGATATGGGCCATTATGGTTCTGGGAAGGAGGGAAAATTAATAGATTAACATGAATGGTATTGGCAAAGGAAGAAGGCCTATTGTAGTCCTAGAAGCTATTTGGGGACCTAACATTCCCAGGCACGAGGACCATATAGTTCCCTCAAGTGATGTGAACCAAACAGGTCTTTCTTCTCTACACTATTCCAAGATCCCATAAAAGTCATGATTACTAAAGAGGGTTCTGCTGACAATAGCAAACTCATCCTAAGTGTAAAGGAATTTAGGCTAAGGACAGACAAAACTCATTTTGATAATTCACACAACAATTTAGAATAGAAGGCCCAGGAGCTGGAGGCAGAACATTGCAAGACCTTAAAAGGCACAGAAGGTGAAAGTGATCAATCTTACCAACAACCTACAATCAACTTGCTAATCGCAGTTGCCATCCACAGACCCAGGTCCCTGCCAATGTGATTAACACCACAACATATGCATGGACCTGTGAAGAAAGCCAGGACCACAGCACACTGGCTCAGCCCCACCTGGCCTCGTGGGAGCTATTACAACTCATTTCTGAATGCTTTGAGACACCAATGTTTTCCTCTCTCTAATTCCAGCTCAAGAGGGAAAGTCAGGTGAACAAATCACCATGATTTTAGGCACAATTGTGTGTCATTACTCCAGTGAGCTGCTCAAAACTCAATCTCGGGCAGGTGCTTTGGCAGCATTAGTAACAAACCCAGGAAAATAGTCAACAGGAAAATAATCCCATCCATTGAACCAAATTGGGGAGCACGCATTCTGCCAAGCAAGCAAAAGGATGTACATTTATAGGACACTTGGAGGTGAATGGTGCTCCAGACACACAGAAGTTCAAGTTATTTTTAACCCTATAGCTCAGGCTTCCAGGCATATGGGATTTGGAATATTGGGTTTTTGGTTTTTGGTTTTTTTTTTKGTTGTTGTTATTACTCTCATTGTTTTTCCTGTTCTGTTTTGCCATATCCCTAGTCAAAAGCAATTTTGGAAATTTCAGGGGGAAAAAGATAGGAAGGGAGAGAAATAGGAAGAGGGGAGGGGAGGAGGGCAAGAGAGAAGAAGAAAAGGAAAGATGAATTAAGTCAGTAGAAATCTATTCAGACAGAAATAAGTCATCTGGGAGATCATAGTAAGAACAAAGCAGAGCTCAGAATGCTTAGAAAGGGAGCAAAAAAACCCAGAGTCTGACCAAAATTAAGCCTTGTTAGAATTGTATTCCATAGATTTTATGCCTAGGTTTTCAGAATATATTAATATCTAAGACTAATGATATTAACTATTTACTATATTCAGAACCAAAGAGAAGTATAACATAAAATACAGATTAATTTCACCATAAAAAGCAATCCAGAGATTATATCAGTTAAATACAAACAAAGCATGTTGAATGCAGTTTCACTACAAAATGAGACAGTTCCCTACTCCTGAATATCTTCCAATTGTCAATGAAGAAATTCTGCCCATTTGGCAAAGTCCACTTGGTCCTCATCAGGGATGAGACATCCTGTAGAGCACATTTTCTACATAACATTTATTTACTTTAATCATTTCTAATCTTTGATCATCATGCTAAGCCCCTGCTTCATTTTCAGCCTTCACAGAACATGACTTAACCTTCTCTTCTTCTCCAGGACCCCATCATAAACATGCAATTTACACCACACTGTATCCCAGATGCAAGTCAGCACCTATTGATGGACATCTGCCACTAAAGCAAATAGCCCCAGAAATTCTGTTGCTCCAGTCCTGGGCCTGCTTCCTCTAGCTTGCCATCTCCTTCCCCAGCAGGATATAAGCTGACAGTTCTGAAGCTCTCAGTATGCCTGTGAGGCCTTTAACCATCCATGGCACATGCAATATCTTTCTTAGCTTCCATTCCATGTGTCTAAATGCCTAGCATATATTTTCACCTCAGGAAGTCCTACGACATCAAACTCACCTCCTCTGCCCTTGTAAAAACCCCTTTCTGGGCTCCCCTATCTTTATTAATGCTCTTACTATTTTTCTTGTCCATCAGGATTACCCTTCCTTCTATATCCAAATATTTGCTAAATGGGGGTGATACAAATTTGGGGTATTAAGAAAATATAAATCACTTGAAGTGGCATATTTGAAGAAAGTGCTAATAGGATACATAATAGGATATTACAGGAGTGATCCCCCAAACTGTTGAGCTATGAGCTAAATCAGTTTGACCCACAGAGTATTTTAAGAATTTAAATATTTTTGGGGGGGAGACATTTAAAGTCAGAATATTTTGCATGGAAATCCGTATTTCCAACTTTTCCTTTAAAAGGAGCATCAGAAGATCTGGCCCCCTACACTCCTGCATGCAGTATTCAGCTAGAACACACATCTCAGTTCACCCCCCACCCCCGCCTCTCCCTGTTGTCTCCTTGACCCTGAGCTAAGTGCCAAGCTCCATTTATCATCATGCTTGCACTGTTATTTTTCTTACAGCTGAGACAGGAAAGTGAAAAATTTTTGCTCCCATGCTTTTACTCCAAGTGGAAAATGAAGAGGGTCACTGGCTTTGAGAAAGAACTTTCTTACATCAAGCCCAGTGCATTCATCTCCCTATCTCTGCACAAGGCCACATGATAACTTTCATGGGTGCTACACACTTTTGCCTTCATGGGCCCCTTTATCCATAAAATTATTTAAAATTCTGTTAGGTGACCACATTGATATAAGGGCAGACATGTCAATATTGCATGTTAAAATGCTCCCTTTGACCAACGTTATTCTTTTTTTTTTCTTTGGATTTCAAAGGAATTCAAACATCTTCTTGCTGTGGGTTCTAGGTACTGTGGCTACTGGGCTTCATGGATAAGTCAACCCTGACCCTCAGGTATTTGAGGTTTCTGGGAGATTTTTTCCATCCCCAATTCACCTGTATGTTGATCGGATGCACAGTCCGTTACTGCAGGTGAATTCATCTCCAGAGCAAGATCTCCTGGTGCAGTTCTGATGCTCATCAAAGGCATCAGCACAATCCGCATCACCATCACAGACCCAGGACTGGGGAATGCATTTCCTGGCTGGAGGTCTGCTATTTACACAGAAAAACTCGGAACTTGAGCAGTTTTGAGCCTCTGAAACCAAAGCACACAAGAATCAGATGATAGTCTTTACAAATAGTCCGTTCTCTTGCTTATGGTACTGAACACTCTGATGGATGAAAGAAAATGGGAGGAAAGCAGGAAGACAAATCACCTGGCTACAATAATAATAGATCATGACATAAGTACCTCCAAAAGTCCTGTTTTAATTGCTTTAGACTCTGGATTTTTCAAAAGAAATCAACATAATAAAACACCTCACCCAGTTTTCCCTAAAATTAACAGAAGATCATATTTTTCCCTTTAGGCTTCAAAAATTCTCTTCCATTGTATTAATTGGATACCAAATGCCTTAACATTTTGATAACATTTTTTAGATTACAAGAAGTATCATAAATACAAAGTGAGATAGGTTTTTTGTTTTGTTTTGTTGTTTTTTGTTTTGTTTTTGTTATTGGTACTGGGGATTAAACCCAGTGGTGCTCTACTACTGAATTACATCCCCAGCCCTTTTTGTTTTTTGAGATAAGGTCTCACTAAGTTGCTGTCCATCCTCTTGCAACAGCCTCCCAAGGACCTGGTTAGTGAGATAGGTATTTTTATGACAATTTTACAGATGAGAAAATTTAAGCTTAACATTAGGCTAACTAGATGGCTCAAAATCTGAGAACTAGGAAAAAGAGCTAGTGCTTCAAACTCAGGTCTTTTTTCTCCAAAGGTAGTGCATCTCCAACTACATTATAGCAGCTACCCCAAGTAGAATGAGGGTGAACAGGAGAAATATGTGTCAATAAGAGCTGTCAGAAACCATGACACTGGGAAGAAAGAGATGTAGACACAGAATTGTTAGTGTCTGCAGAATAAAAGAATGTTACCCAAACCCATTGTTGATTCATGAGGCAAAAGAAGAAAGGGGTAAAGTGTTTGCTACAGTCCATGTACCCACCTCAAAGAGAGAGAGCATTTGAGGAGCTGTGGACTACCCCCAGAGTCATTATGTATAGGGCTAATGTCAAATACAAGAATCAGGAAGCCACTGCTCTTATTAACACCCTGCTAAGACACCTCAGATAAGAACTTCCAGCTTTGTTAACAAAAGAAAATGGTGTTATGCAACCCACTGAAAACAAATAATTGCAATATTCTATGAGTGTGCAGTCAATTAAGCAGGAATGTGCCTGACAATCAGACCTTCCAAACCCAGAAGAATGACTGTACCAGTCCCTCGAATGCCACTCTGCAGAAGATGTGACTGGCCTCACTCACCACATTGGTGTCTCTCATCTTCATCACTCATGTCCCCACAGTCATTGTCACCATCACAAATCCATTCTTTTGGGATGCACCTGCCACCATCACATTTGAACTCTTGACTTGAGCACGTTCGCTCATGGTGTGCTAAAAAGAGTTAAGAAGTAGTCTCAGTGAAAACAGTGGCTACTGTACACACCTAACAATTATTATATCTTGTGCAGATCCTCAAAATACTATGTGCCCTTTGTTCTCTGTGTAAGGGGAAAGAAACCTGACAAAGAGTTCTGGATAACACTCTGTAACCACCAGCATTAGAACTAACAATCTGCATTTAAATGTAAAACTATGCTAGTGGTGCTAAGAAAATATCCCCTAAATAAAAAGTTTTATATGTGATAGTATTTATATACATATGTGATAGTATTTACCATAACAATATTAATAATAGGAAAAAAGTAAACTCAATTCTTAATAATAGAGGCAGTTAACTCTATGATAACATAACCACTCAATGGAATATTATATGTCATAAAAAGGGAGTATAAAACAATACAACAAGGGTGAGTAAACTTTATCTCAACCAAACAGTAAATATTATAGGCTTGCAGGCTACATAGTCTCGGCCACACTTACTTGACATTGACATTGTGCAGGAAGCAACCATGGGCAATATGTGACTGCAGTCTAATAAAACTGYCTATAAACATGAACAACTGGCCCACAGTCAGAGTTTGATCACTTATATAGCAATATGATTTATCAACAGATTATAAAAGCAGTCTCCAAATGCAAACAAGGTACAATGGCTTCCAGGAATACAACAAGAGGGTCCCTCAAAGTTCATAGGAAGCTCAGGCAGCTGGGGAACTTCACCCCAGAAGCTTCACTGACACAAAACAGAGTTTGTGTGCCTACGGTGTGCTCCTTCTGTATGTGTGTGTGTGTGTGTGTGTGTGTGAAGAGTCCAATCATTTTTGCCTCTTCCCAGTCTTATGAGCCAGAACTCAGCCAAATTCAGAAGTTCCAACTGAGAGTCAACTACAAGCAGGCACTGTATTAGGAGCCTAATCTCATTTCATCAGCAGCAACCAGCGACTTCCATATTCTGGTCAGCAACTTACACAGGTCTTTAATGAACATCTGCAGAACTGTTGTGGCATCCCAGCTGGGAGCAGGAGCAGGGAGACCTAGTGTCCTGCAACATGACTCTACTCTGCATGTGAAGTGGTTGAAAGAGACCAGAGTTCTCTAGCTGCACCTTCTGCTTTCAAGCGCGATCACTCTCTTACCACAAGAGGCAGGTTCATCGGAGCCATCGAGGCAATCAATCTCTTCATCACAGTGCCAGTGTGATGGAATACAGCGCGGGGGAGATGTGCACTGGAACTCACTACTGGTGCACGTGTGAGTGGCTGGGGGAGGGAAAGAAGATGACAGGTGTGAGCAGGCACAGCATGGGCCCATCAGCCTTAGCAATCTGCCTATACCTCTAAACTGCATAACAGCTGCTGAGAAACAGAGGCTGGGACCTGAGAAATAATGGGCTTTTATGTGAGCTTTGCATGGGGAGGGAGGAGTACTGGAGATAAATAGAAGGCAATATGCCCCAGTTTCCCAGAATTTCCATTCCAGATTCCAGAAATCCAAAATATAAATTCTATTTGATAGAAATACCAAAGAACTGTCTTTGTGATATATAAAATAAAATAAATCATGTAAAATACACTAGTTTTATTTTTCTGCTATAGTAGAAAATCAAACAAATTCTACTGAAGAAATTAAAAGCAGTGAGATTTTATCTGAGTTCACCCCACACACATCTTAACCATGTTAGACTATGATCGAGTTAGTAAAGTTCTCATCATCTTTATTTTTATAATCCAGAACTTTTATTTGAGAAAGCAGGAGAGTCTGCCAAATGTTTAAACATTCGTTCTCTTCTCAAGTAAACTTAGGTGGCTCTGATTGGATATATTCTTGAATACACAGGTACAAACCTGAATTAAGTCTTGTCATTCTTCTCCTCTACAAGGCTCTCTTGCTTTGGCCCAAAAGGTTTGATGATTTGCCAAGGAAATATTGTTAGGGAAACAAGGTCCCTGAAAGGTCAGCAAAAACTCCAATCTGCCAAGCCCTCTCTGGTGGCTGCACCCTGAATTTTGCTTCCTTAGGTTGCTCTTAATACAACTGATTCCTGTCTCAGACGATAGCCTGGCCTAGTGAAAAATTTTTATCATGCCCTGTGGTTTGCTTGGGAGAGGACCAGTGACCAGTGACTACGGGGAAGGACAATTACTAAATTCTTAGAGTATGAATGTTTACACTAACAGTCTCAAAGTGATACTACACAGCTTAAAAAAGACCTTCTGATTTGTCTTAATGAACAAAGTTGCTAAATAAAGCTTCCTGAAATTAAAATATTAAAAGGCTATAAAAATACTTTCAGTTACTAATGGCCACCACCATCATATTTTGACTAAATAGTAGGAGTTTAATATGCAAACCCTGCCTGGAGCTCTGGAAGAGCTTCAACACTGGGAAAATGGCTTTCCAATTGTAGGAGGTCTCTGGAAATATTTGGGGGCTGAGCATTCAGGCAGGGCATAGAGGGAAGGGGTTTCTCTTGCCCCTCCACCCACATCCTAGAGCAAGTGCCTTCGGCATCTGCTCACAAACTAAACTTTCAGATGATAACTGAAAAAAGTACAGATACCCAGGTTCTATCTTTGCTTCAGCTCAAAATATGCACCTCCAGAATCAGGAAATGAAGCGATTTTTATCATACTCACTGCAATAAGTAGGGTTTTCATCGCTCATATCTCCACAGTCATTGTCGCCATCACACAAGTACATTCGAGGAATACAAATGTTTGTACTCTGACATTTTGTGTATCCAGACTGGCAAGTGCGATCAGCTTGAAAAGGACAACCAGATAAACATTTGGAACATATCCACCAAATATACAGTATCAACACTGTCTATGCCAGCAGACCTACTACAGACTTCAAACCACAGGAGGGGGATTTGAGAAGCCCAGTCCCTGACATTGATGTTACCTACAGATTATCTAGTGAAGAGATACTGCCAGCTGATGCTAAACAGGGAACCAAATAGAGAGCTGAGGAGAGAAGGAGAGGTAGATTGCCATTTAAATTCAATTCTTTATTTAATGAATTTAATGATATCAACAAAAGGCTCAACTCAACTAAACCATGGCATATCCACACATCTATAGCTATAAAAATAATGCTCTATAAGTCGATACACAATGGCAGTATGATCTCCAGGATATATTGTTAACAGTAATAGAAGATTACCTTTTGGGGGAGGGGGAGAAGAAAAAGATAATTATACAGCTTGAGTGTTCCTTTTCAGAAATGCTTGGGACAACAAGTCTTTCAAATTTTGACATTTCTGGATTTTGGAATATTTGCATATGTATAATGAGATATCTTAGGGATAGAACCCAAAGTCTAAACACTAAATTCATTCATGTTTTCATACAGATAGCCTGAGGCACTTTCATGTAATTCATGATGTGAAATTTTCTAACTGTGGTTCATGTCAGCAATTAAAAAGTTAGGTTTTGGATTGGGGTTGATCAGCATGTGTCCGGGTATATATGTGTGTGTGTGTGTGTGTGTGTGTGTGTGTGTGTGTGTGTGTAGTGAGCAAAAGAGAGAGAGATGTTTCTATTAAAAGCAATAATTATTATGAAAAATAAACTAAAGAAAATCATCACCCCGTGGGAAGATTGAGATAGATAGAGATGACAAAACTTCCGTAAATGCACCTTGTCATAGTTTTAACTTCAGAGCCACGTACATTATTTTGTACAAATAAAACAATGTAATCAAAGTGAAAAAAGAAAATCGATTCTTAAAATTTGGCAAAAATACAAAGGAGGCTAACTGTAAAACAAGTTGATACTATAACCCTACAAAGAAAAAAAATTCAAATGTGTTTAAAAGCAGTATATTGCCTCTATGTCATGGGGGCATAATCTAAGAATAAGAAAGACCTTCCATATATTTATTGTTATAAAATTATTTCTGTGGTTATAAAAATCTTGAAATTATTACAGGCATTTCAAAATTATTGCAAAATAAAGGAAACAAGTAACCTATGTTAATGTCATTAAGAACCAAAATTTTAAGCAYAAGAGAAAGGATGGATTTATAAATCTATTAAGTGAACAATCTATAATCATAAATTTAAATGATAAATACAAATTTAATATTTTTTTCTTAAAAAAAACTGCATTTCCTAATTCTGTCCACCGAATAAGCCTATAGACAATGAAAACCCAGTAGGAAGGGGCATTCAACACTGCAATAATTTCTAAATACCCACAAAAAAAAAAGACGGATGACATTTCCTTGGATAAGAGGCTAATTGCTGGTCTGGGACAGAAAACGTACAAGACAAAACAGACTATGCTATACAAGACCAAATGGGGTCACATCAAAAACAGAGAACTAACTTGATAGAACTTCAACTGGCCTAAAATAGGATATTCAGATACCAAAAAAAAAAAAAAAGAATAAACGTGGACATTGTATTTAAACAAATATGTAGATATCCTTGAATTCAATAATATTAAAACATAAACTTATTGTTCACTGATCACCAACTCCTTACTCTGAAAAACAAATGGAAAGAATTAAGCAATTCACTGTGCAGATTGTAATTACCATTAAATGGTTGATAAAGAAAATTTATTTTTAAAGAACTTCAGTGAATAAATGGAGAGCAAAAATAGAATTTTACAATGTCCACTTTGGAACATAATTGATTTATGCAATGACYATTCGTGGGTGCTAAAAGCACTGGGTGAAAAGTTGATGGGAACTTGGTAAGGAAAGACTCAGGATGACACCTGGGTCCACCCATGTTATGCAGAATGGGACAAGCAAACATTCTGTGCCTCATGATTTGATATAACAAGAAATGCACAGCTCCCCAGAAGCACTCCTACCCAAAGAGTACACCCTAACACAATCAAACCTCTACTCTAAATTCCATGCACAGAAAATAAGAGGGATGAAATTAATTCAATGGACCAATTATAGGAGTAGTCAAATTAAGAATGTGGGATATTTCCCAGGAAAAAAATCTGCCAATTTTTCTTCCAAATCAGTGACAAAAAGGATGGAATTGTTGTGACATAAAAGTGATTAAAAAAATCAAAAAAATCAATGTGCAGATCTTGTCTGAATCTTAATTTTGAGCAGAATTAACAGTAACTAAAGGTGAAAAAAAATTGAATGTAGACTGGGTGGTCAAAGATATTAAGTAAGTATTGTTGCTTTTTCTAGGTTTCATAAAGGCACTGTAGTCGTTATGGTTTTGATGTGAGGTGACCTCAAAAGCTCATGTGTCAGAAATGCAAGGTTTAGAGGTTTAATGATTGGGTTGTGACAACCTTAACCCAATCAGTGAATTAATCCCCTGATAGGGATTAACTGAGTGGTAACTGAAGTCAGGTAAGGTGTGGCTAGAGGAGGTGGGTTCCCTTCTATGGACTGAGACCTCTGGAACTGAGATCCCTCAAATAAACTCTTCCTCCTCCAATTGTTCTTGTCAGATATTTTAATCACAGCAGCAAAAAACATGACTAAAACAGTAGTTGTATTTTGAAATGTCTTTATCTGTGAAATCCATGTTGCTTTAAAATTCTAGAAAAAATGGGGAGAGAGGTGAAACAAGGTATGTATGGCTGATAATTGTTGAAGTTGGGTGAGGGTATACTGTACTATTTTTTTTTTTTGGTATATGTTTGAAATTTTCATAGGAATTTTTTTTTTTTTAAAGCTTGCCTGGCATGTGCTAGGCTCTGGGTTCTATCCACCAAAAAAAAAAAAAAAAAGACCCAAATAAATACACTAGTGTATAGAATAGCTCTTATCTACAAAGCCACAAAACTGGTTTATCACAGCCAAACTAAAAATATCACACTAGAACCTACATTCTGGATCTTTTGTCTTCCTAAGATGCTAAGGTACAGTTCAAAAATCAATTCACTACAAAGCTATTTCCCAGAAAAACTAAAGAGTAAAACTATTTTAGTCAACATGGTATAATATAGTTTTTTTGCACAACAAACATTAACCACAATACACTTAGGCAATAAATTTTGCAAAGATTTTTTAAAAACAACAAAAAAAAATTATCAAGAGGATCTGTAATCTAGCAGATTTGTAAACCAAGGACAAAATATTCAAGATTAAAATATTCAACAATTGCATGAACTCACCAATTTAAGTGAATAAAAAGGAGGTAGAGTTGTGTTTTATAGAATTTAGTGCACTGTATCAAAAGGAAACTGTGTTTCAGAAAGCCTTTGTTTTTATGTAAAAATTTCAACTCTTGACATTCGAAAATACAGGAAGTACTAAAGTTAGACTTACGGCAATTTATCTCATCTGAAGTGCTGTTATCATGGCAGTTATTTATGCCATTGCAGACAAACTCGATGGGTATGCACCTCCCATTACCGCAGGTAAACTCCGTGGTGTTATCACATTTCCTGTACAGACACCCGGCCTCATCACTGTTGTCCCCACAGTCATTGTAGAAATCACAGCGATAGCTATATTGGACACATCGYCCGTTGTCACAGGTGAAAGCCGTAGGCAGACAGGTGTGAAATGCTGGGTGGGGAGGGGACATCAAAAGAAAACCTCTAGATAAAAGCATCGTTCTAGTTTCTAAAACACTACAATAAAATAAAATGAACTCTGAGTTTACCTTCCCAGGCAAATATGGCTGCAAATCGGACTGCATGCCAAGCGAGATAACACTTTAAGCAAAAATAATGTTGTATGCCTTTTTTAAACAAAGTATTGCAAGAAAAAAAAATCAAAATCACTCCAATTCTCAATTTAAAAGTTTATGTCAGTCACAGGAAAGCATTTAAACACAGTTTATTTGGGGAAAACAAAAACTCCTAGCCCTTACATGGTCTGTTAGGGAAAGTTTCCAACCTTCAACCTCCCTGATAAATTTTCATGGTCTTCCTCATTCCATTCACATGACAGCTGAGGACTGGGAGTGACTTCAATACAAGTATTGCATTAATAAACTTTGGGCTATGATAATTAATAAAATAACAATCACATATTAGATTTCTCAGTCTTGGGATCTTATCACACCCTATGCTAAGTGTTTTTATTATGGCTCTCTTGCTCCTCACAAGAACCCTAGTGATCATTCTATTTTACAGACGAGCTGTCTGAAGCAAATAACTCTCCCAGGGCTATATAGATTATAAACCACATGGCCAGGATTTTAATCCAGTGATTTTGCTTATAACCATTCCAGAGGTAATTTAACCGAAGTACAGTCTGGGTTATCCGAATAAACGTTTTTCAGCTCTGACAGAATTCTTAGGCACTAATTTCAACCTCATTCACACACAACAGGATTCTGCACCAAGCCCTATCGTAAAGATGTCTTCAGCGCCCACGAAAAGCATGGAGAGTCCAACTCACCACAGACGTTTTCCAGCTCATCACTGCCATCGCCACAGTCATCCTCATTATCACATTTCCACTGCTCTGAGATGCAGTGCCCAGTGAAGCAGGTGAAATAGGATGCATTACACCGGGCCCCAGTGTCCACAATACAGTGTTTATTATTATTGGCCAGATACCATTGACCCTCATGTGGACACTGGCACTCAGCTCCATTTGGACCTGGGAACAAGAGAAACCACAAGATTAGTGCAGCAAACATTCAGAGTCTCCTCCAGAGTAGCTTTTGCAATAGCTTCTACATGAAACACTTACCCATTAGCCTTTCAACCATATTCTGAGTCACTCTTCCATTAAGAATGACAACCACCGATTTCTAATAAATGTGCTAATTTACTGTAATCTTCAGACAACTACCTAGCATCTGCAAGAGCAATGATTCTCTTTTCTCGGTAGAATTTACAAAGTAACAGTACCAGAAAGCACATATTCCTTCAAATTTTTCTTCACGAAATACTATGAAACACATATCTCACCCTAAAATATCATCAGAAATACTTCAAACCACAAACAATACTTCCTAAGCAGAAAATTAAATCTTTTTATGAGGAACATAAGCTCATGGACGGAATTTTCTATGCAAGTCATGAAGTGGGATGGCCAAAGCCCTCATCTTATTTTCTACCTTTACCAAGTTTGTATTTAAGACACCTTCATAAGATGGCTCCGTGTGGAATAGAAAAGAAACCTAGCAAAGACTTTCCCTCAAAATATAACCCCATCTATTTCATAAGTTACCTTGAAATCAAGGATATTTGGGCTTTTTCTCTTCTTGTTAAGATGAACATTTCTTCCACCTCCCTTGCCAGGTGTTTTTACTATGATTATTCTATAGGTTTTCACCTTCAAGGGGCAACACCTTACCTGGCACACAGATGTGGCTGCAGCCTCCATTAAACTGATCACAAGGATTGCTACACTGCTGTTGTTCATTTTTCCTAACAGTGCAAATACCCTTAGGCTGAACAGGCAAACTTGGAGTCATGGCCATCAGATCTGACCCATCATATTTGTTAGCTCGGTAAATTCTTCTTGTGTAGAAGTCTGTCCAGTAAATATACTGGCCATAGAGAGTCAAGCCGAAAGAATGAAAGGCTGTGCTGACAATGACTTCCCGGGCCATGCCAGTGAGAGTGCTGCGCTCAATCTTCTGCCTGAAGTGGAGGGGGGGAAAAAAAGAACAAGAAATTGCTGAAATCTGGGAAGAATAATGATTAGGCCCACGCATTCATTTATACACACCCCAACTGTCTTTTCAATCGAGGTATATGGCAGCTGGAAATGTTTCTTTTGATGATGGGAGGTCTTAACAAACAATTACCTACCCATATTATTGACTTCCAGAAATGAATATAACCTACAAGAGACCCTACAAAAGGAACCAAGCTGTCATTAAAAACAAGAGAGCAGGGGCTGGGGTTGTGGCTCAGTGGTAGAGCACTTGCCTAGCATGCGTGAGGCCCTAGGTTCGATCCTCAGCACCACATATCAATTAATTAATTAATTAGTTAATTAAAGGTATTGTGTCCAACTACAACTAAAAAAATGAAAATTWAAAAAAAGAGAGCAATATGAAAAGATACATGTCATGCATGGTACTTGGTGTGGAGTGCCCTGTAAAGGCCCCCAAAATGTTCACTCTTTGTCCTGTCCACTCCCTTGGTGACTTTTTCAACTTGACATTTTTTGAGTACTTTGAGATATTTATCTAAAATGATCCAAAATCAGACACACAAAACTGCTCAAATATAAAATGAGCAGTTTTGTTTTGTTTTGTTTTGATGAGAAAATGAAGACAAGATCTGGATATTGAATTCTGGGCACCACAAGACCAAACTTGTGAGGAAATATGTTCCTTGTGAGGAAATGTGTTTACCAATTACAAAAACCATGCATATTCCATTAGGATGACTGGAATGTGAGACGTTTTGGGGTCACTTGGAGAAACTACATGCAACATTAGACATGACAAAATTTATAAGGAAAACATTATGAAATTTGCTGAGAAGAAGCATACCAAAGGAAAAGGATTATTTGAGAAGAGGGCCAAAAGTCGAAGACTAAAGAGGATCATGTTTTAAAAGACACTGAATGATAAAGCCCAGGAAAAATTTTAATATCACTATATATTTAAAAGTCATTCATGCCAGGCACGTTGGCACATCCCTGTAATACCAGCAGCTGAGGAGGCTGAGGCAGGAGGACTGCAATTCAAAGCTAGCCTCAACAACTTAACAGGGCCCTAACAACTCAGTGAGACCCTGTCTCAAAATAAAAAACAAAAAGGGCCGAGGATGTGGGTCAGTGGTTAAGTACCCCTAGGTTCAATTCCCAGTACCAAATACATATATATTTTTTTCTGAGAGTTACCTAGAATCTTTTGATCATAAATTGAGTAGTTACATTTGCAATTATAGTTGAAATTGCACATACAATTTAGTGATACATCTTTAGATATCTTTTAGCTCATAATTATTCAATCTCACAATAAAGTTAAATTTTCACAGATAGAACATACTCAAGCTAGAATATCATATAGTTCCAAAAACTGTGATTCTATGTTTTGGAAATAACTTTCTGGCAAATTATATTTCATCACATTAAGCAAATCTCTCTGCTTTGGAAGTAGGAGGAAGAACTCCTCTTCTTAACCCCACATGAACTACCAGAGACACATACAGACTAGCATCCGCCCAATACAGAAGGTCTGTCTCATAGTCCAGAGTGAGTCCATTGGGCCAAACCAGACTGGTGTTCACAATGGGGACCCGGAAGTTTCCTGCAAGTGTGGCTCTCTCGATTTTGGCATTAGTGCCCCAGTCAGTCCAATACATGTACCTAGTCATCCAAAAGAAGAAGTCATAATTAGTTCCACAAGAAACCTCAGAGTCCTTTTCACTTAAAAAAGTAGTAGCAATCTTTAATTACAAATTGTCATTAATATGGGTCTCAGGTAGGGAACCTACTCCATTCCTAGCCACATGATTTACCCAAAAGGGATTTACTGAGCATTGATTTCCTAGGATGCTGCCAACTTTCCTCCCACAGGAATGAAGCTCAAAACTCCCCTTCCCAGGTAAAAAACCACTTAACACTCATTTACCCTTCTATGCACAGTCACAGAGTTATGAACCCTTAAGATACTGGCTCTCTATGAACATAAAATAATTTCTGGCCCCACTTCCTCCAGAAACAAGCAAACAAAAATACAACAAAAGATGGGGACATACATACCCTCTGCAAGGATCTAACACAATGGCTCTTGGTTTTGAAACGCGGGCTATCACGGTACGCTGAGATCCATCTTCAGCCATGGAACTAATGGTCTGGTTGTGGTAGTCACTGTAGTAAATTCTTCTATTGATCCAATCAAAGGCAATGCCATCAGCAATCCCTACATCTGGACACACACCAGCAGGGAGACACAAACACACATGAAGACATCAGAATCATAGTGCACTCTAAGAACACTCGGGCCAGGTGCAGTGGTGCACACCTATAATCTCAGTTACTCCAGAGACTGAGACAGGAAGATCACAAGCTCAAGGCCAGCCGGGGAAACTTAACAAGGCCCTGTCTGGGGCTGTAGCTTAATAGCTTGTCTCACATGCATGAGGCCCTGGGTTTGAACCCCAGCACCACCACCAAAAAAAAAGAAGAAGAAGAAGAAGGAGGAGGAGGAGGAGGAGGAGGAGGAGGAGGAGGAGGAGGAG